TGGATTGAAGAGAAAAAGATGAAACATGTTTGTTAAGGGGTTGTGTGGAATGTTTAGAGATCAATATTATTAGTGAGTAAAGACCTGTTTTTATTTACAGATAAGAGTGTTTGACGAATTTATATGTGTTCGTATTTCTACATTTTTTTACGATTTAATTGGATCTTAATGTTATTAGTGAGTTAATAATCATATGTAACCAAATATATGTATTTGTTACTATACAACTATAATATGGGAATGAAGAAGAAATAATTTTGTTATTCGAAAAGAAATATAGTTTGTTGTTTTCAATGTGCCATGACATGTTTTGAAAATATATAACTGTAGTTTAATAAATGCTAAGGCTTCGTATAATTATATACATGTATGACTAAGACAGTTATTTTTTTTTATATTTGTCAAAAATATTTTGTGGTAGTTTAAAAATGGGAATGGTAGATTAAAAAGTTTAGTCGTATAGGATCATATTCGAACACAAAGAAAATGTAGTAGCTGGATTTTAAATGATTGGATTTGAAATTTGATGAGTCTTGAGTCTCATTTTAGATCTGAAACTGGATTGTTTACTCACCCTTTTTGTTTCTCCTCGTCATCTTCAGTAGTGTGACAAGCTCTTGTGATTCTTGGTCTGATTGTGTTTTTAGTGTGTCATTTTGTGAAATTATGGTTTTTCTATAGCAACATGGAAGAGAGATTAGCTCACCTTAGTTAAGGCTGTCTCCTTCGCATTCCTTACTCAGTGAACCTCTGTTGATTCGGTGTTCTCGGAACCTGCAATAAGAAGGTTTGAATTTTTTGTATGACTTTATTTCTATTATTATTAGTTTCGTTTACTAAAACCCATACTGAATGATTTGAGTTTCTATATGTTAATTTGGTTGGTATATGGCATATGTTTACTTTAACATGACAGAGAGACTTGAAGGCTGCATGATGGATGCCGGTGACGCTAGTTTTAGGAACTGGAGAATGAGAGAGAGATATTTTCTAGAAGATGGTTAAAGTTAAGAGGAATAAATAAGTTTTGTGGA